CGACTCTCGCGATCAAAACGTTTATCGTAACACAGCGCACACTGGGTTATACGCTCCGTTCGCACAAGCAACTTCGCGCGACAGGCTTGCCCGCCGATACGATTCACTCGATGCTCTTTTTCTCGTTTCTCCGATGAATGCTCACCACCGATTACGATACACCGCGTCGATGGCGTCCAACTAACGAATTGACACAATTTATGACAATCTTTCGTATTAACTGCTGACTGTCAGGGAATATCACGCACGAAGAGCGATTTTACTACCTAATAACTTGACGAGGGCGCGGAGTGTTGCGGAGCTATACCGCGAAGGGAGGCAGGGGTTGACGTTTTTGGAACGGTTCGTACACGTTCGCCAGTGGAGGCACACCGCCGCACTTGGTAGCTTTCCTATATAGTACAACTCCACGATGATCCGGTTGACGGGTCGAATTTCTTCGTCGTTTATAATAATCTCCTTATGTATCTAATTGTAGTCACTCTAGGAATTGTGACAATTTCAATTTTTCCTTTCTTTCAACGATATCTATTACAGTTTTTTGAGTTACATTGTATTTTTCTATTTGTCTTCTCCTTTTTGCTCTAATAGCATCGTTGATTATTTTTCTCCCTTTCTCTCACTCGTTTTCTTCCTTTCTCTATCACTTATTCTCTCTACTGTTTTCTCTCACTTCTACACTCCTAGTTTTGGATCGTGCGGGGGAAGCGTTACTCTCTTACCTCCACTACCACTCTTTCTCACTCGCTCTATCTTTCTCGATATACTTCGAATCTTGTCACTACTCGTCACTCCTACGTTTCTTAACTTGTCAGGCCGGACGTTATCAACTTGCCAGGCTAGTACACGCTTCGTCGCAAACACTTTTGTGCTATACGGAGAAACAAGCAGGAATCGTGCTGACGCCGACGTGGACGTCTTCGTCGTCGTCCGTGTCGACGTTGCTCGAAGGGAGATCGTCGTCACCGTCGTTTTCCACCTCTGCTTTCGATAATCGTGAAATCACTATACAACTGAATGTCGCTTCGAGCCTGGCGGCGGGAAAGGGGTAAAGGCGCAACCTGGACGTACGCGGCAAAATCAATTCTTGATAATCAACGACGTTTTCTCTTTCTCACCGTGCACACGAACACCAAACCACTTACGAATTTTTCGAAGCCTCCTCAGACATTGACCCGTTCGGGATAGATCGGGCCACTCGAATGTCGACGGACATTGCCGAAAGTGACGTCAGTAATACCCCGCCCTGCCTCTTACCCAGCGGTTCATCCTACAGCAAGTGGGATGGCGCTGTGATCACATATACCATCGTCATCTTGTGGCAATTTTTGATATTATAAAAGTTGAGCGGGAAAATTAAGTGTTAATTATATTTAACACTCGATCGTTTTATTCGGATACATACATTTATTTATTGATATATTCTATTAAATTTATTATTTTTTAAGAATAACGATAAAATAATTGATTTTTCATAATTCATTTAAATTTAATAATCATATTTTTAAATTATTATTTATATAATATATATTTTATTTATATAATATATATAATTTAATATTAAATGCATGATTATTTTTAAGAAAACAACGATTGATAATTTATAATTATCATTATATTTTTAATTTTATTATTGAAAATTAAATAATAAAGTTTTTATTATTCGAAAAATTGAATTCATTATTGCTAATACAAATTTTAAATACATTTCATTTAAAAAAACAAATATATATATATATACATAGAGATATACATATCTTGCATATGTGTTTCATCCATGAATATCAAAAATATTACTAAAATTTTGTATAAGATATAGACAGAAAAGATGTATAGAGAAAAAATGATGTCATTGTTAATCAATACAAGATATCATCGACAAAATAGTTAAATAGATTATACTATATAATAATAATTAAATATGAAATCATTGAAATCATGAATGAATTATAGTATAGATCATATGCGAAATATAGAATAGACATAGCATTTCTTTAGAATCTCTTTACCATTTTAGTATCATTCTCAACATTACCGATTTAGCATAGAATAAGATTATAATATCACTGGTGGTTAGAATTGAAATTAAATTTTAATATTAAGTTATAAATATATATTATTATAAATATAATTTTAATATTAAGTTATAAAAATATATATATTATAATCATACAATACTATATTATTATTATAATTATAATTTTTATTAAAATATTAATCAAAAATAAAAATTGCAAAATTCATTCAATTAAAAAAAAGAAAAATTGATAATTTTTTGTTAAAATAATAAATTTGTTAAAGTAATGTGTTTCTATATTTATTTCT